CAGAGCTTGGTGGTGACCGTGGTGTTGCTGGGTTAATGGTTGGACTCAACAGCTCCCGTTTCGGACCCTCGCGTGTGCCTGGAGGGACCCTGGCGCCACCCGGACCCTCGTCCCGAGTCACCAAAAGCCTCCTGGAGGTCGCACATCCCGGGATCGCGTTATCCCGCGTTATTCCAGAGCAGGGCACAGTGCCCGGGGTCACCTCAGACCCCTCCCGGGGACCCCCGGAGCCTCCGGGGCACCCACGGCCCGGGACCCCCCCATGGCCGTGCCCCTGCTGCCCCCTGCGGGTAACGGGGCCGCGGTGCAGCCGGAGAGCCCGAAAGGGGATCGGGAAATCGGGAAAGGGATCGGGATACAGGGAAAAGGGATTGGGGTACAGGGAAAGGGATTGGGATACAGGGAAAGGGGATCGGGAAATCGGGAACGGGATTGGGATATCGGGAAAGGGATCGGGATCCAGGGAAAAGGGATTGGGGTACAGGGAAAGGGATTGGGAAATCGGGAAAGGGATTGGGAAATCGGGAAAGGGATTGGGAAATCGGGAAAGGGATTGGGAAATCGGGAAAGGGATTGGGAAATCGGGAAAGGGATTGGGAAATCGGGAAAGGGATTGGGAAATCGGGAAAGGGATTGGGAAATCGGGAAAGGGATTGGGAAATCGGGAAAGGGATTGGGAAATCGGGAAAGGGATTGGGAAATCGGGAAAGGGATTGGGAAATCGGGAAAGGGATTGGGAAATCGGGAAAGGGATTGGGAAATCGGGAAAGGGATTGGGATATCGGGAAAGGGATTGGGATACAGGGAGAGGGATTGGGAAATCGGGAAAGGGGGTTGGGGTACATGGGGAACAGAGGATCTGGGTACAGGGGGACAAGGTGGGATTGACATGCAGGGGAAAGGGGGGATTGAAGCGCAGGAAGATGAGAAGGGATTTGGGGTACAGGGGGAGAGAGGGGTCAGGATATGGGGGGAGGAGGGATTGGGATGCGGTGAAAAAAGGGGGGATTGGGGTATGTGGAAGAGGGAGATCCAGGATTCAGGGGGAGGAGAGGAGATCAGGGTACAGCAGGAGATGGAGGGGAAAGGGAGCAGCCAGGGCAGGGGGAGAGCGCAGATCGGGATCCGGAGGCAGAAGGATGATTGGGGCATGGACGAAAGGGGGAGCCCAGGATACCCTGAGAGTTTTAGATCCCTGATTTCCACCAGAGAAACGAACAAACAAAACTCACAGGGGATGTAATTAAATCTTTAAGGTCCCTTCCACTCCAAACTGGTCCAGGATTCTACCAATTTCTTCTAACAGCTTCCAGGGCTTGCATGAACTTCATTTGCCTCCTCCTTGGGAGTGGTTGGGGTGCACGGGGGAACAGTTCTGGGGTTTTTTGGTATCCCAGCAGATTCCCTATTGGCTTGTAAATCTTCAGTGAGGTTGATGCCATCCTCCAGCTCTGCAAATCACTGCACACCCACTGCCCATTCTCAAACTGAGGGTCTGTGGAGCAAACTGCCTTATCATGGAATCCCAGAATGGTTTGGGTTGGAAGGGTCCTTGAGGACAATCCCATTCCAGATTCCATGTAATGCTTTGGGCAGGGACACCTTCCACCATCCCAGGCTGCTCCAAGCCCCGTCCAGCCTGGCCTTGGGCACTGCCAGGGATCCAGGGACAGCCACAGCTGCTCTGGGCACCCTGTGCCAGGGCCTGCCCACCCTCCCAGCCAACAATTCCTTCCCAATATCCCATCCAGCCCTGCCCTCTGGCAGTGGGAGCCATTCCCTGTGTCCTGTCCCTCCAGGCCTTGTCCCCAGTCCCTCTCCAGCTCTCCTGGAGCCCCTTTAGGCCCTGCAAGGGGCTCTGAGCTCTCCCTGGAGCCTTCTCCTCTCCAGGTGAGCACCCCCAGCTCTCCTGGGGATCTGCAGCCCCCAGGACATCCGGGGGATGCTTGTGGCTGTTTTGAGGACGGGCCAGCCGTGCTGAGCAGCTCCTTGTGGCACCGCCAGGCTCCCCAGGGACTCGGAGGAGGCACGGCCAGGAACGAAGCAGTTAAACACTGTAAAACACAGCTCGCTGATGCTGTGTTGTATAACAGACAGATAATACGTTTTTCCTCGGCATCTGTGCTCCAGCTTGCCTGAAAAGCTCCAGACCTGAATTTCAGCCCCTGTCAGCAGTTCCACTGCAGCCTCGCAGCGCTGTCACCCGCACAGTAAATTACCGGCTTGGCGTTAATCTGCCCGAGCGCAGAGAGCCGAGATCCCTGCAAATGCATCTCCCAGACATCCCCTGCAAGCCGCAGCTTTAAAATCCATTCGGGCCAAGCAGAGCAGGGGTTTTATTGGAAGGCAAACATAAAGCTCAGCTCCCGAGGGAGCGCGGCCCAGGGGAGGGGAGATAAAGCCACCCCGGCCCGGGCTGGGGGGGCCAGGCCATTGTTTGCTACAAAGGACAGGAAACGAGCCTCAAAGGGGACATGAAAGAACCTTAAAACAAATGCAGATCAGGAGCGGGGATGGCTCCGAGCATCTCCCTCCTGCGCTGCCCGGGGCTGCTGCGGCCGGGGGCGACCCCTCGGGTGCTGGGACCTGCCTTTCCCCCGGACAGTGGGGCTTGGTGGAGCTGAAAAGGGCCAGAGGAGCCTGGAATCACCCCGAACCACCCTGTTGTGGCCGGGATCTGTGGCTGTAGAATCATCAAATCAAGGAATGGTTTGGGATGGGAGGGACCGTAAAGCCCGTGCAGTGCCACCCCTGCCGCGACCAGAGACACCTTCCACTGCCCCAGGATGCTCCAAACCCCGTCCAGCCTGGCCTTGACCTTATGGTCGATGATCTTAAAGGTCTTTTCCAACCTAAAAAATTCCATGATTCCAAACCCCTTCCCTGCATCACCCACGGGATGTGACTGAGCTGGGCAGGGCACTCAGAAGTTGTTTCTTCTCCAGCCTTGAGCTGCTCTCCCACTTGTTCAGTGCCCCCAAAATTCATCTGGTCCTCCTTCCTCTCTGCCTGACTCCACACAGCCCCAGAACTGGGTGGTTTTGGGTGTCTCTTTAGGGGCACCCCAAGGAGGGGGAACCGGTGCCCCACTGGCTGGGAGCTCTCTGGCTGGAGAAACCGAGCTGTGTTCAGCGAGAGAAGTCACACAGGTGCCAAAAATGCATTAAAGCAAATTTTTCTATATGGAGATATCCCTTATCTGCTCTGAAAAAAAAAGTGGGTTTGGCCCCTTTGGAGTTGAGCCCCTCTGCTGAATGTTCTATTCCTCCAAGTGAGGGCAGGCTGGTGTTTGAGCCAAGTGGCAGAAATGACCCACAGTGGCCCACAAAGCCATTTCCTGCCATACAAGGCAGGCTGGTGGCCCTCTGCCAGAGGGGACAATGAGGGACCATGGGGCCTGGCCTGAGAGCCCTCATGTTCCTGTTTACTTGGAGCCTTGGTCGTGGATCAGAGAGATTTCTCTGGCTCCTTTTTCAGCAATTCTGAATGCGGTGGCAGGCAGCAGTGCCCAAATGCTGCAGGAATCCTCATCGTGTGTGGGGTCCCTGGCACTGGTGGCCCTGTGTCATGACAAGGGGACCTTCCCCAGCCCTGCAGGGGGTCCCACCAGCTCTGTCACCCCCTGGAAGGACAGCAGGGCCTGAGGCCACCTCCTGGGCCACAGCAGTGACCGCCCTGCTGGCCCTGGCCCCTGTGACGCCAGCAGCATTCCAGGCTCTGGAGCTCGTGGCTGGCCAGGACGAGCACGGGGCTCTGTGTGCTCCTGTCACACGAGGGAAGGGAAAAACATCACCCCAACCCCACAGTGACAGGGAGTTCCCGCTGTTATCTCGTCCTTCCTTCAGCCCAGAGCCAGACCAACACCCTGCCTTTATCAGCCTGGCCCACGGGCAGGCACGGCCTGGGGCGGGCTGGGACAGGGGCCGGGCAGGGGGACAGGAATGTGGCACTGGGGACAGGGATGTGGCACTGGGGACAGGGATGTGGAACTGGGGACAGGAACATGGCACTGGGGACAGGAATGTGGAACTGGGAACAGGAACATGGCACTGGGGATAGGGATGTGGCACTGGGGACAGGGATGTGGCACTGGGGATGGGAAAGTGGCACTGGGGATGGGAAAGTGGCACTGGGAACAGGAATGTGGCATTGGGAATGGGAACATGTCACTGGGGATGGGAAAGTGGCACTGGAGACAGCAAAGTGGCACTGAGGACAGGAACACAGCCCTGGGGACAGCAAAGTGGCACTGAGGATGGGAATGTGTCAGTGAGGACAGGAACATGGAATCAGAGAATTGTTGAGGTTGGCAAAGCCCTCTGGGATCATCAAGTCCAAACATTACCCAGCACTGCCAAAGCCACCACTAATCCATGTCCCCAGGTGCCACATCCACACGTGGTTTGACCATTCCCAGGGCTGGTGACTCCAGCACTGCCCTGGGCAGCTGTGCCTGACTGACCTTTCTAGAAGGAATTTCTCCTGATCTCCAATCTAAATCTCCCCTGGAGCAGCTTGAGGCTGTTTCCTCTTGTCCTGTGCCTTGGACTCAGGAGAAGAGTGTGACCCCCACCTGGCTGCACCCTCAGGAGTCAGGAAGTTGCCAGAGGCACTTGGGGGTGGGAGCACGGAGCTGGAAAAGGGACTGAGGTGCCTGGGGATGGGAACAGTCCTTGGGGACTGGGACATGATGCCTGGAGTTGGGAATGTGGCTCTGGAGATTGGAACACGGCGCTGAAGACTGGAACACAGCATCTGAGGGCGGGAATATGGCACTGCAGATGGGAACACGGTGCCTGGGGATGGGAATGTGCCTCTGGAACGCGGTGCCGCCGGTGGGACTCGAACCGGTGTCTCCGGGGCGGAGCGGTGCTGGGGCCGGTGCCGCCAGGGGGCGCTGCCGCGCGGGCTGGGGGGGGGCGGCGCGCGCGCCTTTGTTGCCGTTGGCGCCTCTTCCTGCGCCGGGCGGCGGCGCGCGCGGGCGGGGGCGGGAGCGGCGGCGGCACCGGGAGCGGGACCGGGAGCGCAGCGCGGCTCGGGCTCGGCGGAGCGGAGCGGCGGGAGCATGGAGATGGAGAGGCGCTTGACGCTGGAGCTGCGCAACAAGAAGCCGAGCGAGGTGCGGCGGCGGGGAGCGGGCGGCACGTGCTGCGGGAGGACGGGGGGGGGGGGTGGGGGGGGGGGGGGGGGGGGGGGGGGGCGGGGGGGGGGGG